GCATTTGTTATGATGTTGGAGGAGAATATTGAAAGTACAATGAACTACCAAAAGAACAAACCAATCTGTGCTAGATGTACAGCCAGAGTGCTCCTTGAAGGCCAGGATGGCCAGACTTTGTCTCTCATACTTTGGAAATATTAACAGGAGAGACAGGTCACTGGAGAAGGATATCATGTCTGGTAAGGTGGAGGGTCGGAGAAATAAAGGAAGACTCACAATGAGATGGATTTTGGTATGGTGGAAGCAGCGACGGGCTCAAGCACAGCAACGATTGTGAGGTTGGCACAGGACCTGGTAGTATTTCGTTCTGTTGTGCATAGGGTTAGCTATGAGTCAGTACCAACTTGATGGCACCTAACAACAACAATGGTTCATGCTCACCAGCTGCTCCTCGGAAACCCTATTCAGCATCGCTATGGGTCAGAACTGACACGGTTGGCACTTAACAAAAACAATATTCCTTTTTCTTATTCTATAAAACTGAGGAGAAACGTTCCCACTGAAGGTTTGGATTTCCACTTCCTATTGGATTTCCTCTAATACTGTTTTTCAATAATCGATAAAAACAAAAGGCTTGACTAGTAGGTGTGGGAAACTCACAGCATGGCGATGCCCCAGTGCTTCCCTGCTCGCTCTCCCGCTGCCTGGAAACCCGAGAGGCCGATGAGGGCTACCGTAGGTGTGATGGTCAGCGGCCCAATGTACTTCAGCAGAGCCCCGGGCAGGCCTAGGAAACCAATGACCACCTCTATCAAGGAGGACATGATGATGGCCCCTTGGATCTGGAACAAGACATGGCAGAAATGTGAGGGCAAGCTGTCTGTACACAAAACACTCCAACCACAAGTGGTAATCCTGCAAAGCAGTCAGCCATCATATTAACAGACATATCAACTCCTGCTAGAAAGCTCCCTGGAGCCCCACAAGAGATTTCAGTGAGTGACGTATCACAGAAATGGGAACTGAACACAAAGCCTACTTGCCTTTCTCGCCAACAGAAATGATCCAGGTACAATATATAATTCCCGTTTTAAAAAAACATAACATTTCAGAACTCGCCCTAGAAAAACACTGCTGTTTGGAGGGTTTGGGCTTTAAAGCATGCACGCCTACAGGGCATTTGAGAGATAATGTTACTGACAAAAGTTCAAGAGGAATGTTTCTTGTAAGTTTTGGAAGACATGGGTGAATTGTTTTGCTCCAGTGTACTTTAACAGATAACATCAACACCTTCCACAGATAAAAGCAGATGCCAACCCCAGAGTGAACAATTCTGTTGCCTGCCAATAGTCTCCATCGCTCTTTGTCCTGTGGCTCAGGAGTGGAGGGGGAGTGGGCAGGTCTGTGGGTGCAGAGGAGGAAAAGGTGAGAAACTGGTAGCAAATGCTCCATTTTGTAGTGAGTATGAGGGGGTTACATGAGTAAAACTGAGGAGACTTGTGGCTCTGTAAGTTAGGCATAGAGCTGCTAGCCATAAGGTTGATAGTTCAAAACCACCAACTACTTCTCTGAGAGAAAAAAATGAGACTGTCTTTTCCCATAAAACATTTGTAGTCCCAGAAACCCTACAGAGATTCTCACCAACACTGAAGCTGAAAAGAAGCAAAGAGCAGCCCCAAGGAGGCCAATGCTCAGCATTTACCTCTCGGATCCGGGGGTACCAGACATGCTCAGTGTGCATCAACAGTTCTGCGGTTCCATTGGCGACGGACACATCTTGAAAACAAAAACAAAAACAGAAATGTTCTTGGAGCAGCCCTCATCCTTCACAGGACATATACATTTTTACCCTTCACACCAGAATCTCCTCCCTGTTTTAAGTATGTGTGTAGAAATCCCCATCCCTAAAAGTCAAGTTACAACAGTATGCCTTACCATACTGAGCACTACCTTAATCAAATGTCTTCATCAACCGCGAGAGAGCTCTCAGTTTGTCAGGAGCTGACTGAAACGCTGATAACACTTTACTCCTACCCGCCTCACACACAAAAAACCAACCTCACTCAGCGAGCAACTAACTGAAATGCCCTACAGCTAGGTTTCCTGGGCTGAGGCTTTAAAAACCTTGATAAAAGCAAAGGGCCTTTTCCAGTTCCTAAGTCAAGTAAATGATCACCAAGCTAATCCTAGGAGCGAGGAAGGAAATGAAGGCTGGAAATCTTTGCTCCTAGAAACCTAAAAATTGAGAGCACAACAAGTTGGCCTCTTGATTTTCTCAAATCCCCTATCTTTTTCTGACCTCTTTGGAATATAACTTAAGGATCTTTGCAAAACTAAGGGGCGGGCAGGGAAGATGGAAGTCATTTGCAGGAAACCAAAGTAGCCAGATCCTTAAAAAGCAAAGCTGTTTCAGAGAAGGGATGCTGATGCAGCAAAGAGAGTGATTACTGGTGAATCATATAATCCACTGGAAGAAAAGAGGCAGGAAAAATAAAGCACAAATGCCTTTCTAGTCTACTCCTTTATTTTCCAATTTCATTAGCATAGAGAAACGAGGGCCATTCTGGGGCTTACTTAGGTCTAGGGCTAGAAATGAACAAGTTGAACCAGTGGTGGCAGTGGGGGAGAGAGACAAAGGAAGTTGAGTATCCATAGGCTGGAGAGCTCTAAGCTGTTTGTGGATTTATGTCTTCTGTGCTTAACTCCAGAAAGGATTTAACACTGCCGAAAGTGGCATGTCCAGCCTCCCTTTAATCACCTAAATGGAAGGACCCCAACGACATATGTGGAAATAGCTGCAGTTACCTGTGGTGTTACATTTCCATTTATCTAAAGACAGGATGGCTCGAGCAGGGGCCAAAAATGCAAAAGCACTGGCCTGAAACAGGGGTAACCTAAAAGAAACGAGACCAAAACCATGATCACGGCATCGGGAACTACCGAGGTAGTTCACTATTTTGACAGCTTAACAGTCTTTGGCATCGATACAGAGCACATGAATTAATGCAGGCCCACCTGGGGGAGAGCCCACCTGCACTGAGCAGCCACCCACTGGCTTTGGGGAATCCCCCTGCTGCTCTCCTCCCAGGCCACTTTGGGTGGGCCCCGGAAAACTCTGTGATCAATGCCGATACCCCAACACCAGCCCTTGCCACTTCCATGTGGGACACGTCGAGCGTTCAGGCGCCTCTCTTTCCTGTGGAGTTTGCACTTCATTATTAAATATCAGTGTGATCACCTGTTTTACCTCCTGCCTCCTTTTCCCTTCCAAATTCTTATTGGTTTAACAAAGAAAAAAAGCACAAAACATCACAGTTGGCCCTCACCACAGAGGGTCGGTCTGTGTCTACTGAGGAAAAGGCAGGCTGGGAGTCACTCAGTGCAGTAGCTACAACAAATATTTCCTTTGATTATACAACACATATTCAGAGGTGCTCTCACATATTTATTATAGAAAAGGGTCCAGAAAGCTTGCAAATGCTCCAACCCTCAAATGCCTCAAAGTTGCCATTTTAAGTATTGCATGTTGACTTTATGAATACTTTTGTTAGCCAAATGTAAAGGCTTTGCCATTCTTTATTGGAAATTCACAGCATCTCGGCTATTGCTGTGTTAAGTTAGCTTTATGGCCTAGCATGTGAACCTAATCACTGTTTTTGACATTATTTCTAAGGTAAGAATGCCTTAGAAATAATGTGCTGGGAGCTCCCAGGTGTCCAGACACCCCAAACAACCTTGGCCAATGGGATGGGAACCTGGCACCCTCCCCTCTGAGCTCTTAGGCAGCAGTCCTGCCTGCAGTGAAACAGAACTGGACAGGAGGACAACCAGTCACATTTCAGGTTTAGCACCTGCACAGGTCATTCTGAGCCAGACAAGAGCCAGGCGCTTGTCTGTTAAGAACACTTCCCTGTCCATTCTAATTATGTAAACCAATCCATCAGGAGTGTGGGGTGGGGTGGGGAATGCAGGCCACACAGTACCAAGCAGATGCACCACTGATGACCATTTCAAAGGGCAGGGCCTGTATTAACCACCATGAACCTGCCCCAGGGGCCTAGAGCATGCACGGGTACCATCATAAGTGAAAGTGGAGGGCACCTCGAGTGGGACTGTACATCAAAGGGAAAACCCACACAAAAACTCCTTTAACACAATCTTCCTGAATGGACTGGAAGGGTAAAGGGAGCTCAGCACACCTCAATGGTCCAAAATCATGTCTGTGTTACTACAGTTCAAGCAATGTCTCCCAGGCCCATGTAGGGTAATTCTGTTTGTATTTAGAGGTCTTTTCCCTCAGAATATCGCTGCCTAGATGACTCACTGGATGTGGAAAGAGAAAGAAGGTGGCTCTGGGCTCCGCACCTGCTGACATGAATATTCCCCCTAGGTGCTTAGAACTCTGATACAAATAAGCCTATTCCCTTTCTGGACACTGGGGCTCTGGGGTCTCTCAAAGTGGGTAGTAACAGAAGGGACCCCTGTCCCCCAAGGTGACCTGGGAGAGCTGCACCTGCTGGCACCACGTGATCAGAGTCAGCATTGCACAACCACCTGCCACAAGCTGAAATTCTCCAGCACCAAGTGTGGTCTCCATAGCTGGCTCGACTGAATGATTTTTAGGGTAAGTTGTGACAAGAGTGTGTTGTCAGTTCCATCTCATAGTGACCCTATCTGCATACAACAGGAGGAAATGATGTCTGGTCTTACACCACCCTTGCAAATCGTATGTTTAAAAACACTTGAACTGAGAAACTGCCTTTATCAGAATCACAGAGGTAACTTTTCCTGAGGAAAGGAGGGTAGGTGATAAAGCACTTGAGAGCCCACAGTGACGGTAATGGGCTTTTTCAGGTCTTCCCAACTCTATGGCTCTTCCGTTTCCACAGCACAACACCCACAGTGCCTCACATGGCTTTAACACTCACTTGAAAGATGTGCCCATTCAAACCACAGGCATGTGGGTCTTCCAGAGTAAACAAAACTGGTCTCCTCTATTTTTAAATTTTATTACTAACATCTAGAAAGGAAACAAATTAAACTACACCTTCATTTACACGAGGGGTTGGCAAACTGGTCCATGAGCCGAATCTGGCTGCCTATTTTTGTATATGAAGCTTTATCGGGACACAACAATCTCATTTATTTGCATATTGTCTATGGCTGTTTTCATGCTACGCCTCAGCAGAAGTGAGCAGTCTTGAAACAATTGTCACATGAGAACTCTTAATATTATCACTAATTATTGTTAAGTGTCATTAAATTGGTTCCAACTCACAGCAAACCATATAGGATTTCCAAGGCTTTAAATCGATGGAGCAGAAAGCCTGATCTTTCTCCCACGGAATGGCTGATGGACTGAAAACCCTGGACCTTGTGGTTCGGAGTCCACTTCACTGTACAGAGCCACAACGCAATAATGTCACTGTTGTTGTAAAGTGCCATAGAGTCAGTTCCGACTCATAGCAACTCTGTAGAGGGTTTTTTGAGAAGTAGCTGGTGGGTCTGAACTGCCGACACTGTGGTTTGCACGCCAGTGCTGATTCTACAGCACCACACCAAGAGTCCAGTAGTGTCATTACTGCCATCATCCAAGGCACAGAGAAAATGTCACCCTTCCAGGAAGTCCTTCAGGATCACCTTCTAGTGACTCTGTAAAGCGTTCCCCTACCATTCAAGACTTTCCAGTTATGATTTCTGCAAGTCATTCCTCAAGTTGCCAATAAAGACTTTTCTGCATCTCACCCAGTCCTAGTTAACCAGAATCTATGGTGATGTCCCTAAATCTGCATTATGAATAATCACTTCCAGGTGAGGCGGAGGCACCCCAAAAATGACAACCCCTGAACTAGTTGAAAGGAGTTATCATTTTCAGCATGCAATAAACATTTCTTGGGTATCTGCTTACCACAGCCACAAATGTAAGCAGACACCAAGATGAAAAATATTACCCCTGAGCTCCTGAGAGATTTCTGATGCATGAAGCAGACACTAATCCTGTGATGTAGAGAGCACTCTGGGGGGCAGTCACTTAAGCTAGTCTTAAAGGGTGCGACCTGGTATGGTGCTGCAGGATAAACACTCGACCACAAAGTCAGTCTGAACCACTGCAAGGTCGGTGGTTCAAACTCACCAGTTGCTCCTTGGAAACTCTATGCAGGGTCACCAGGCGTCAGAACCCACTGGATGGTACTCAACAACACCAAAAGGGTGAAAAGCACCCCACCGTGTATGCACGTGGTACATGGGTTCCAAGGAGAAAGAAAACGACACACTGAGGATGGCTAGAACTGCAGGTCCCATAGTGTAGGGACACAGGGCATGGTGCAGAAGGTGAACAAGGACCAGAAGCATGCTTCCTATAGGCAAAAGGGCAACTAGTAAGGAACTGGCTTTGAAAGGACCACTTTGGGGGAACCAGGAAAAGGTGACCTTGATTCCAAAGCTACTATCAGTCTTGAAGTCACCCAACCATAAAAGACTGTAGACTGTGGAGTTTGTAGTCTTTGCCACAATGACTCCCACTCTTCCTCTGGGGTCAGCACAGATGACCTGCCAGCCTAGATCGTGTTCTGTGGGCTTCCTACGTAGCCATGAGCCATTGGCAATGCTAGCATACTGCCTGCAGTGACCGGCTGCTCTCAGGACTCTCTCAACAGGAACGGAGTCCCCAACACCAATGATTTGCATCAATGGGCTCAGAGAAGAATGAACTGAAGGTGCTATGTATTATTCATCTTTTGAGACTCGTCTTCCTTATTGTTGTGATGCCCGATGTGTTCCTCATACCTGTACTTTCTACGCCATACTGACATTAAAGGAGTAAAATGCTTATTGATCTTTAGAAAGGCACTGTGTCAAAGGTGACAGGCTAGCCTTCAGGTACTCACTCCCGTGGCTCAATTCTCAGTCAAGCAGTAGGATACATGTATAGGGTGGCAGCAACACGAGTGAGGTATGCTCACCATGGAATGGGCTATCATTTGAGATCAAAAGGACAGCATTTACTTAAGGACAAAGTTCAGAAGGGTGGGGGGAAAAGCATGAAAGAATACAAGGAATACTGGAAAAAAGTAGGATCAGTGATTTTTACATTGAGGGGTTTGAAATGAAACAAAGTATACGATTTGTTGAATGTAAAACTGATGATCTGCTCTGTAAGCCTTCATTCAATTCACAAAAGAATTTTTCAAGAGTTTTTTTGTTTTGTTTTGTTTTTTAATAGTTGATAGATTACGCAACGAAGTCCTCTGTGGTACACATTACTCTTTGAATTGAGTCTTACTTTAGACTAGAAATGAGAGAATTAAGTCTTTGTGGCAAGTCAATTTTAACTACAGATGTGGGAAAGGGTTATATTCCAGGTTAAAAGACTCAATAGCAAAGTGAAAATCTGTATGAATTTCCACGATAAAGCCATACACTCCCCCAAACCCAGAGGCCATCAGGTAGAAGGACTTGACACGTTTAAAAGGTTCTATGAAAGGTGCAAAACGTTTTCTGTCTGGAATTAAACCTTTTAATCAAAAGGAATATACCAAAACCAAAATCATCAAAATTCATGAAAATTCCTAAGTGCAGATTGCCTGGCTTCCTTCATCTGACAAGAAATTGATCAAAGTTGATATAGAATATTTCACTGCGAAATAAACAAGTATTTCTAAAAAACCTAGAGCTGCTTTGTCTTTGAGGGGTTCTAATGCCATGGCTGGAGTCCTGGTGTGACGCTGTGGGTTAATGCATCAGACTGCAAAGACATTTGAACTGCTCCTCGGAAACCCTATACAGGGTCGCTATGGGTCGTAACCGACTCAAAGGCACTTAACAACAACAACAATGCCATGACTGCGGTTTAATGCACTAGATACCAAAGTTGGTTTGAACCACAAGGTTGGGGATTCAAGTTTACCAGTGGTTCCTTGGAAAGACTGTACAGGGTTGCTGTGGGTCGAAACAGACTTGAACAACAGCATCATGACTGAGTATGTCATTAAGAGTGTGTAAAAAATAAACGTGTCCAAGAAAAACTTGAGAGAATGGGTGCAAACCACCACCACCACGTAGTGGCTCTGTACAATAAACACTGGACTGTGAACCACAGGTCAGCAGTTCTAGCCCACCAGCTGCTCCACAGAAGGAATGTGAGGTTTTCTGCTCCTGCAAAGATGCACAGCCTCAGGAAGCAACTGTATGCCATTTAACAACAAGGCACTAGTGTTCCATACATTAGAATCTTTGTGAGGACAATTACACGCATACAAAGGGGAAAAAATGGGGTGGGGTGGGGTAGGTGGGGGCAGTGGGGGCCTGAGGGAGAGAATGAACAATTCAGAACCTGTGAGGAATGTGGGACAAAGTAGTCTCTGACCCTCAGAGGGACAAGGTGCAGAGTTAGTTCATGAAGCCACTTTACCGGAAGACACAGCCATCTCCTAGTCTCCTGAAGCATCAGAAATACCAGGGGCTTCAAAAAGTTTGTGGAAAAATGGAATTGAAAATAGCATTTTCCCACAAGCCTTTTGAAGCCCCTTGGTGTGGCGCTGTGGGTTAATGCTCAGGACTGCAAAGTCAGTTTGAACCACAAGGTTGGTGGTTCAAGCTCACTAGCCACTCCTTGGAAACCCTATGCAGGGTTGCTATGGGTCAGAACTGACTCGATGGCACTTAACTACAACAGTATTAGCTGAAGGGAAAGACGACCCAGAAGAGCTAGAACTCAAGGTGTGAATTCAGGCAGCCCCAGTCCTGGTGAATGCGCTCAGCTAGCAGGCAGGAGTTGGAAGAGGTGTCCTTGCCATTTTCTAGAGGTCAGCACACCAGTCCCTGCTCATCACGGGAATGCTGTCTGCTGGCCTTCTTAATCAGCTGTGACTACCTCTCTGCTTTACCAGAAGCTACATACCTCCTTCTCTACCCTTTCCTCTTCCCAGGTTCAATGTCATGAAAACCATGCTGCTAACATTAGCAAGCATGGGCTGTAGCTCATTAGACCTGCACCAGCAATGTCACTCTTACTCCTACTTCAGAGACAACCAAGTGGGGCTGGCACACAGGTAGGACATGCGCAAAGGGAGCTGCCGCCATCTGTGAGCCCAGTACTTTCTCGGTCAGGGCCATGACCTTTGGAATCTCCCTGGCCTAGCATTTTCAGGTGCTATTTAAGAATCCTTTCATTAAAAAGGGCAGTGGTATTCTTATTTGGAAAGAAACTAAAACAACACCCTTCAAAAGTTGCCACACTGAATGTGAGTGACTCAACATCCCCTACACAGGAAATCTGGCAAAAACGTTCACCTGAATCCAGCACGCCCGTCCCTGTCTCCCACTTAACAGCACAAAAAGAGGGGTGTGGAACTAATGAAGTAACACTGTAAGGACAATCAGAAAAATCCAGGCTGTCGGGCCCTCAACAATGGTCCTATGCTCTTTAAAAGGCAATGATCTGGGGAGAAGAGTAGGGCCTGCTTATCACTCAGAGAGCAGAGATACACAACAAATCAGTGCACCCCCTTCATGCATTCATTAAGTTGATTGGATAGAACCTGGTTCAGGGACAGGGTGGGCAGGGAGCCATAGACATTTAGAGACAATCAGGGCAACTGACTCTGGACTGATCGGGAAATGACTGCTCGTTTTATGAGGGGTGATAAATGGCACTGTGGTGACCCAAGAGGCCGTCTTCATTCCTGAACCCACTGCCGTCGACCCTATAGAGGTCTCTGTTTCTAGCAAAGTATGTATAGCTGCAACTTTAAAGTGATTCAAACGTAACCCCACAACTACACATCCACCCAATACACAAATTACATATGTAGAAATAGAATCCAAGGAAAAATCCCACTGCCTCCCACAAACCCTAATCTCTGCACCCTCTGTTCTTCTAGGTATTGTCAGCTGTTGTGAGCTATGCCCTGAGGTTTGAATCTGAGGTGTGTGTACTTGGTGAGCACATGGTATAGACGAGGTTCCCTTACAGGTAGAAGATGTCAGTGCTCTTTCATGGTCAGGAGTAGACCATCTACTGAGAGAGACCAGTCATGTGAACCAGGCTAGGAGGGTTCTCCTGGCTAAAACTCTACCTTTCCTTAGCACAGGGGCTCTGTGTACATTCAGCAGCCTCTGAGTGGCCAGAGATGTGCCTTAGGGAGGGGCCACCCCCCCTGTGAAAGTCAGCATCAAGATCCTAGAGGAGATCCAAGGTCATGTGGCTCTTGGCAGGGAGCCTGGGAGGCATGGAGGCCCCCCGTGGAAAGGCAGTCAAGGTGGTGCATCAGGTAGGACGCTGTGCACTCAGGTGTGGCTACTCAGGGATGATAGCTGTGCAGCATCAGGGTCAGGAGGCGCTGAAACTAACCCACCCTGACCCACAGGATTATAAAGGCTTTGTACCAATGGCCGGAACAAGGCCGAGAGGTGGCTGTGTCCAACACCCTGAATCAGCCAGAACGAAGAAACCGGCTATCTCCTCCATGACTGCCACTCGAGTGCCCAGCAGGACACCTATGTGGCAACCTGATGACTCTGGGCTCTGCCCTCTACACTGCACAGCATGTGCTCAATTCATCCTGTGCACCACCATGTCAGGTCTCACCTGGCACTTGAAACGCAGAAGATTCAGTAAACAGGTGTGGGGTTGAAAAAGAACACAACACAACCCACTGCCACTGAGTCGATTCTGACTCCTAGCAACCCAGTATAGGGTTTCCAAGGTTGTCAATTATGTGTACCTTTGAGAGAGCCTCACCTTTCTCCCCAGGACCAGCTGCTGTTATCACTTTTTCCCAGGTTAAAAGTATGGCCACCACTCCCCATTATCTGGAAAACTGTAGAAAACCCACACACCAAAGCCCCTTAGCTTCCACCTCATCCTGAGAAGCTCCCCCAGCAGTGCATGTGCACTGGTCTGATTATGAGGTGTGGCCCTGCCTCCTGACTTACAATTCAACACATGGTTACACAGTGGTGAGGACAGAAGGAGGGGTGGGGCCCACTGCTCCTCACTGCTTTTCTAACAGCTCCTCCCACGACCCAGAGCAGGAAAGCTGCTTCCAGTACGCTTCTTGGGCACAGAGCACATAGACTCACATAGGTGAGCTTACATGCACACATACGATCACACATTCAAGGCAGCAGAATCTCTACATTTCGGGACCCTGCGCCATCCCATGAGGAGTGTCAATTCCCTGTGCTGCTCTTCCTCAACTTAACTGCTCTTATGCAGCAAGAGGCGGGAAGAATGGCCCTGGTCCGAACTGTCTTGAATGGGTGACCTAAAGCACTCGCCAATGGTCCAAAATTTCTCCCTGGCATGTGACACTCAAGCAAGTAGGCCTCCACTCCCTGGGTTCAGGTATGGCCTGAGACCAGGCAGAGCCTCAGACAACGCATACTGCTTCCCTCTTCAGATCAGACACTTTTCACAACTGTAAGGATTACCCAGATTCGCCAATGGGTTTTGTCTACCAGAAAGCAGGTTCCTGAGTCAATCAACAAATACTTTTTAATCTGCTCTGGACTTGCTCTGAGAAGTGAGCAAAGTCTCTCGGACAAGTCCTTCCCCTGGTGGGTCAATATAACCTTGTCTCCTAACTGGTGGACAAGGACACTCCTCCATCCTGAAGCTAGAGGCCCACTGAGTGTGGTACTGCAGACAGTCTAGCAAGGGCCAGGAGCTTGCCAGCCCCCATGGCCACAGGTCTCCATAGCATTGTCTACACTGCCAACACACATCCCAACACTGTTCAAAGTTCATCCAGCACTCTCCTGTCCCCCAAAATATTAATAACCTTTTTTGAGGTCCCTGAGGATTTCTGACTCATAGAAACATAGCCCATGATTTCAAAGACTGTGCCCCCAACAAGGAAGGAAAAGCCCTCATTCAGATGGCCTCTAATTGGGCAAGAGGCTGAACTCTCAGGTTGACTTCGCTGTTTTTCCCTTGGGGACAATCGGTCATGGCAGGCTGGGCCCTGGAGCAGAGCTCTGGGGTAATGAGAGAGGCTGCCTAGAAAGATGGCAGGAGACGGATACAGCGTGCATGTGGCCCCATGCCAGTTCCGACTGGCGTACGTCATAATACTGACATCAAGGGGGAGCATGATCCAGGGTGGGGACACAAAACCACATCATGACAAATGGAGGTAAGAGTCATAAACGAAGGTACACAGGATGCATGCGTAGGGATCAAGGAGAGTCCAGGAGGCTTCACAGAGGAGGGAAGGATGAGCCGTTCACTGCAGTGTGGGAAGCAGAAGCAGCAGTGGAGCAGCAAGTCACCCTTGGGGGACAGGGACAAACTCAGCTCAGGGTGGTTGCAGGGAAGGGGAGAGCTGTTCAGAGGCATGGTGTAAAGTAGACGTTATCTCCAGAGTGGCCTGGTCAATACCGAGGGAAGACGTGACTATTAACAAGACGGCACTGGGGGCAGGGTACACAGTGGGTCCAAGGACGGAGTCCTGGAGGCAGGGTCGCCAACTAGGACCCAGGTGGGGTTGGGGGCTGGAGAGAGGAGGCAACACGACACCACAGTCTGTGAGACGGGAGGAGTGGAGAGTAAATCTGTGCCCAGCTTGCCTAACTGGGCAGGGGTGGTGCCATTCACCAAGAGAAGAGCCCTGGGAGAGGAAGAGAGAGCAATCCGCTGGGAGTCTCCCTATACACACTCCAGTACATCCTTCCCAGCAGCCCCAGAAGAAATGCATCTCTGAGCTGAGGACTACTCAATGCCTGATGGTGGCTTAGTACCCCAACTGAGGACCCCAATCTCACCTGCATCCAAATGTCGTCTGCAACAAGGTTGTGATTCCCACACAGAAGAAGATGGTCCCGATGAGCTGGCTGGTGGCCCACTGGTCATAGCCCACACACATGGCATCGGCCAGCAGGAAAGGCACTGCGATTGTACCACTGAAGCAGGTCAGGTAGTGCTGTGGGTGAGAGGGGACATGGGGAGAGTAAACAAACGCTCCCTCACTGGTGTCGGCTCGTCCTGACTTTGCTACCCCACTGTCTTTAAAACACAGCCCACATGAAGCAGCTCCTTGTAGGGATGCACTTCTATCAGATCTCAGATAGGTTTTCTTCCTTCCAGCACGTGTCTTCTGCCTTATTACACACAGTTTCTAAAACAGCACTGGATAATACAGACACAGCAAGCAGTATTCCTTCTAAGACTCAGTCTAAGTTGAAAAGGCTTAACGAGCCTACCATCTAAGAAGCTCTTTACTGCGTATTTTAACAGTCTTTATAGTGAGCTTAGGCATCCCGGGGTAGTGCAAACCATTAATGTACCCATGGCTACTAACCAAAACATTGCAAGTTCAAGTCTATTTAGAGGCACCGCAGAAGACATGCTCAGCAATCTACTTGCAAAACAATCAGTCACTGAAAGCGCTAAGAAGCAGGGGGGTCTACTCTTGAAATACATGGAGTTACCATGAGTCAGACTCAACTCGGTGGCAAGTGGTTACTGGTTATAGTGTTCAGACAGCTTCCACCTGTCTCTAAGTTAACAGGATAACATAATTATTAAAAAATATAAGCTCTACTAGTAAGGTCTGCTTAAGGAGCTCTGATAGCATAGTGGTTATGAATCGGGATGCTAACCTCAGGAGATTGGCAGTTCAAAACTGCCAGTTATTCCACAGGAGAAAGAGGAGGTTTTCTGCTCCCATAAAGATTTACAGCCTGGGAAACCCTGTACAGGGTCATTATGAGTCGGAACCAATTCCACGGCACATAACAACAACAAGAAGTAAGGTATGCTTACTTGGAATGGTCAGCCAAAGAGATCATTATGATCAAAGAGACAGCGTTTACCTACGCATAAAGTTGAGAAGGGAGGGGAGGGGAGGGGAGGAGGGTGGCATAAGAACAAGAATCACAGGGCAGAAGGTGGGAAAACAGATGTTGCATGGAGGGGACTGCCATCCTTGAAACAAAATGAAGTGTGTGGTTTGTAAAATGTAAAACTGATGATCTTCTCTGTAAACTTGCACTCAGTTCACAAAAGAAGCTTTTAAAAAGATGATTTCTGGAGTTAAGACTGCCTGTGTCTAACCCAAATTTCGTCCTATGCAAGATACTCAAGGTGCCTCATTTCTGTATGCCTCAGTGTCCTTAGCTGTCAAAGGAGCTACCAAGAGTACCTCAGCTTTTACAATGGTTATGATATTTTAACGAATTATGATTTGTAAATTCAAGTAAAACTATACCAGCACAAAGGAAGTACCCAATGCAATTTCGTATTTTACTTATACGAGACAACTTCAAAAAGTTTGTGAAAAAATTCATTTTCTTTTCATTCTAATTTTCCCACAAACTTTTTGAAGTTCCTTCATAAGATTCTTACAAATAATACTGTCTTTTCTTTTTTTTCCCTAGATGCCTTTTCAACTTGATTGCATCATGTGGCCTTTCTCCTCTAGTTGTTAACACAATTGCATTTCACCAAACTGCTCTGGCATGCCTGAAACAAACCTACTCAGTCACACTGCATTTTTCTTTAAGAGTTTGATTTGCCAACATTTCATGTGGAACTTGATATCTATATATTCTTAAAATAATTTGGCTCACTAAAAAAAAATAAATAAATACATTCCAGGTCTAGAAATTAAAGTCAAACTTGCTACATTGTAGGAAAAGTTTTCCTTCCTTCTCTATGGTCTGGGGCTGTTTGGCAAACAGAAATCTACTCTGATCAGAAAGGGCTAAGTGGAAACAGTAGATGTGGGATTTGTTCAGAAAGAACCCCAACCCTCTTTTTCCTTGAGGACCTCCCTGTCCCCGTTCCTTGTGGTCCCTGTAGGAGAGCCTTAGAGTTCACGACTCCCTTCACTAAAGCCTGATTGTTCCGTTCTTAAGTTCTACAGAGTTGCTACATCTCTTCCCAATGGTTTCATTTTGGCCAAAATATGTTTGTTGCTTGAAATGCATGAAATCCAACTGATATCAACACAAACAGGTGTCTCCTGGGGCAAAGAACGTTCCTGTTGAGCAGAGAATTCTCAGAGAGATGCTCACAAGTTAATGTACACTGAGCAGGATTTCCCCCACCTATCTGACCAGAGAAGACATCTTCCAGAAGCATCTTTAATATATGCATCTCTAAAAGGCCCGCTATCCTGCAAGACCACACTGCTGCAAGCTCTGCTCCATCTCAGTTAGACACTTTCCAGTCCAGGTTATCAAGCACTGTTAATACCCGGGGGGTGGGAGCTGTTATGGATAGGAAAGTCAGTAAGAGCAGCAGCTGCCAGCAAGTAGAGTCCCACCTCTGACAGAATCAGCTGGTTTAAGCCACATCTGGGCAAAGAGCTACCTTTGAGCATCTGCAATGCCTTCATACAGCCAGAGGTGTGTGCCTGGTAAGAGTCAATCGCCTCATCCCCTTTCTCTAAAAGCCCAGTTTAATCCTAGTGAGAGAGGAAGGCTGCAGAAAGGGGATGGAGAGTACCAGAGACACAGCGGCCCCACCTCAGTGGCCTTCTTCTCTCCTCTCCCCATGGTGCTCTTGTTGCTCCCGCTGCCAGCTACATCCAAGAAAGCAGCTGCCACCACAGCTAAGTTCCCTTCCTTTCAAAACAAAAACACAGGCCTCCTATCTACAGACTGGCCAAGAGTGGATCTTTCACTGCCACCCATGTTACACATTAAATTCATGGCTAAATGGAATTAACAGTGGACTGTTTCCATCGACTTTTTTTCTGTCATTTAATTTATTTACTTATATATATATATATATATAATTTTAATTTTATTTATTTATTTTAATGTCTTATTGTGTATTGTGTGATCGTCTACATGGGGGAACATTAATTTTACATTCATTCTATCATACATCGTCTCATTGCCCTAGTTACCGTCCCATCCATGCATCATCACCCAACCAAAGGGTACACCCTGCAATCCTGCCAGCCCTCCCCTCACGGTCCTCAGCACACAGCCCCTCTCTCTCTCCAGATCCCTAGTCCCCAAGCCACTCCATCTCTTCACATCATCCTCTCTGTCTCAGTCTCAGGCCTCGCTGCTCCTCTGGGTGGGGTCCCGCTTTCCGCTCTTCTCCATTGATGGTCCCAGGGCCCTCTGCTCCTAGACTGAAAGGTTAATCACTCCCCTCCTTGCTATAAAATGTCCACCTTTACATTTCCAGTCTTTACAATCAGTCCTGGTAACAATTATTCACCCTTGCTGCCCAAGGGACCCATCTGCATTTCTTTTCATCTGCCCTTCCTAGACAGGTCAGAAACTACTCACTGGAGACTCTACCATCCTCCCCGCCCTGTGGATCTAGGTTCCCTCTTGAAAGCTTGTAAGCCAGTCACTTCTTGCCTTTGTATCCCTTCTCCCATTTTGGTTAGTCAATGTTCAAGATGGCCATCCCTATCTAACTCTTTGTGTGGAGGGGGTGGGACTATCCATCAACTTTTTGAAACCTCCTCTCATTGATTGACTAGAGCAGGACTACAAGAACCCACTCTTCTTGTTCTTTTCCTCATTCCACTATTGGAAAACCATGCTAATAATTCCCATTCACCATTCTTAAAAGAGCAATTTAGAATAAACTTTCCAATAAATAAAATCAAAGTTGAATTAAATAAAACAGAGGGCTATCTGAGCCTCTGCTGATGGTAGACTATTCATGCATCTTACCTGTAACCCCAGGAATATACACAAGTACCAAGGAGGAACATCTTCTATGGTGTAAATCATGTCCGATCTCTGGGGGTCTAAACTGCCAGTGCTATCCAGGGTCTCTGCAAGAGAGCTCTGTGAGTGAGGAGAGAAAAAAAAGATGTTCAGTAAAGTGAGGTTTGAAGCTAACACAGCTCAGTACAGAACACTATCTGCCCCTCTCTTGTAAAATTAAGCCTTAAATATCTCTGAGGTCCCTAGGTGGTGCAAATGGTCCATGGGCTCAGCTGCTAACTAAAAAAGGTTGGTGTTTTGAATCTACCCAGAGGCAACACAGAAGAAAGACCCGGCAATCAACTTCTTAAAAAAATCAGGCATTGCAAACTCTATGGAGCACAGTTCCACTCTGCTGCACACAGGGTTGCCACGAGTCAATTAAACCCTTGCAATGTTGAAGAATACTTGCTCAGTATCCCTTGGCATCAATTCCCCTCTATAAATCACCCAACTTGCTCAGAGTTTCTCTGTGTGGAAAGGAATACCCAGAGGCTGAGGTCACAATAGGACAGCTTGGCATGAGCAGAGCCTGGGTAAGAGGTGTTATTAAATGTTAACCACTTCTACACAAGAAAGCACTGCTCCTCACCTACCCCTGCAAGAAGAAAGCTTTTCACCTGAAAATAAGGTCCTGCATCACCCTACCAAAACACTATTGCTCAGAAAACAATTTTGAGGAAAAGAACAAAATGTAAAAATGTACAAACACAATGACTCAAGTTTTCCTTAAAAAAAAAAAAGAGACCAGAAATTTATTTATAGTTCAGGTGACAATTTTTATTTTCTCCTTTTTCCTTCACTGTTAGCAAAGGTTTTCTTTTTAAGGTTCAGAGCATGCCAAAATCATCAGAAAGACCAAAAACACTTAGTTCATTCAGCATCTGAGCCAAATCCAAGCTAATCCCAAATGTCCAGTTTAGCTTTAGAACTGCTCTTATTCTAAAACCCTACCAATATGTTCTCGCTTCCTCAAAATCCAAGACTTGTGTCTTTCTAAAATTTTTTTGGACCTAGTTTAAAAAAAAAAAAAAGTAACTATTAGGAAATCAAATTGAAAGATGTTCCACAAAAATGGTAAAAATGATGGCATTCTGACCCTTAACCCTGACTAGTCCAATTCCTGTCCTCTTTGTCTGACAAGACTTGGTCCAAAAAAATGTACAGGGAACTGGGATTTATTGCCAAATACTGCTAAATAAATAAGTGACGCATTTCAGCCTTACCTTCAAGTCTAAAGGTGAGCATGTAGGCTGACATTTGATCTAATCCAAACATGGACTGAAACTGACCTTTTAGAAGTAATTTTTCTTGTATTCAAACAATGGATATTCACAGATGTGCACTGCTGAGTGGGTTAAAAGGATTATAAGTGTCTTTCCAAACTGTCTTGGTACAAACAGTGGGAAAATATGAGTGTGCATGAGGAATTTGATTATGTGGCGCCCATTTTACTGACAAGCAACGATGGACATTAAATCTATAATACAATGGATGATTCAATTTCTGTTCAGCTAGAAAGATCTGAAAACAGAACAGTAAAGCTATAAATAGTGACCTGTCACGGTGTGGCACTGTGGGTTAATGCACCAGGCTGCAAAGTCACTTGAACTGCAAGGTCGGCGGTTCAAGCTCACCATAAATCCTATACAGGGTCACTATGATTTGGAAACAACTAGATGGCACTTAACAACAACAACAATGTCAAGTCATTTTTCACTATTAAACAGAAGGACAGAAAACACTTTGCATCTGTCCTTTTGTGAGGTGGGCTTAAGGGGTACATACAAATGTGGACATACACACACTTGGAAATAACACAAATGTCTGCAAGTCTTATTAAAATTGCAGAGTGGTGGAGCTATGCAGCCAGGGCGATCAATCAAGCCTGAAGCCTGCCTGGCACATGCTGCATTGTCCATCCTTGACATGGAGGGGATGCACATCTGGTCACTGTACTGGGGATGGGATCACACTCCATTTTAAGTGCCTGAACAATATGATTCACTTCCAATATTTAAAAAAAAAAAAAGAAGAAGCAAACACAAAAACCTTCAACACCAAGATTCCAACATTAACTGCATTAATAGTTTAACAATGCCATTTAAAGGAGTTCTCCTTATTTGATGGTCTGACATAATCTACAGAGCAAACAAATTACCTGACCTTCAAGGATTAAAGTGAACTCAAAACTCGGCTCTCTGCTTGGAGACTTCTGATACACTTTAATAACATCTCCAATCATTTCTATGGTTGTTTATCTAGTCTAGCATTTCTGGGGTCAATTTTAGGCTTTTGTGAGGGTTTTCACCCCTCTACAGAATCATTTTATGTAGGGGAGAAATTGGCAAACTTTTTTTTAAATAACAAGCCATAGCACAGCTACTCAACTCTGCCATCATAGCATGAAAGTAACCATTAACACTATGTACACAAAATGAACATGGTTGTGTTCCAATAAAACTTTATTTATAAAAATATATAGTGGACGTGGGGATGCTTGAAGATGGAAAGAAATTTGATTCCTCCCAGGACAGAAACAAGCCCTTTAAGTTTATGCTAGGCAAGCAAGAGGTGATCCGAGGCTGGGAAGAAGGGGTTACCCAGATGAGTGTGGGTCAAAGAGCCAAACTGACCATCTCCCCAGACTATGCCTATGGTGCCACTGGACACCCAGGCATCATCCCACCAAACGCCACTCTCATCTTTGACGTGGAGCTTCTAAAACTGGAATGACAAGAATGGCCTCCTCCCCTAGCTACCTGTTCTTGGATCTGCCACAGAGGGATCTGGCTTCTCCAGACACGCACACGTGACTCCATATGGAGCTTTCCCCGACGTTCAACTACACTCTTTCTATAAACATCAACCCTGACTGAATGTGTTCTGTCCCTCAGCTTTGCTTCTGACACCTCCATTTTCTCTTCCCCTTTTTCCTTGTATGTATGGTGACTTAAACTATATGTCATCCACCTCAGTTACTCATTTTATTTCGTTCTGGCTTTGGGGTGAAGATTCAGTTTCAGTCTTTTGGATCTAGGTTTTCAATTAAGCATATGATCCAGTATTAACAGCACAATGGGCGAACTTTAGAATAGGGATTGGTGTGGGGTGGGAGGAGGGTACAAGAAACTTTATTTTATCTTATTTTTTTTGGATGAAACTTTTACTATATATTAAACATTTGTGCTGCTGCGCTGCAAAGCCATAGCAGATGTGAGGCATTGAGGGATGATTTTTTCTTCCAAGTTGAGAAATGTCCTTGGGTTGAATTCAGAGTCCTACCCCAAACTGAAGTGGGGAAGCGGAGCACCTTTGCCTCCCCTGGCCCCACTCACCTTCCCCTTAAACCTTCTGCCTTTCGAAAGCAGATGGTTTCCACTGTGGTGTTGAACACCATGGGCCAGCATGGACCTCTTGAAGCCTTCTTTATGGCCTGGTTTGCCTTTTTTTTTTTGGCCATCCTACGCTTTTTCTAACAGATTTTCAGGACTTTTGTAATTTTCGTAACTATCAAAACTCCACCGCTTCCTAAATTTTAAGAACTTTAGTTGAAAGTTTAAATTGAAGGTGCTGTTTGTAGACACTTAACACCCAACGAAAGCCCAGCCATCATGACAAATCCTTGAGTGTTCTCTAAGAAAATGATGCCGGTCATCGCAGCTTCAGCATCTCCTGTTTTTTGATGCTCAGCTCCCCCTGCTGATCTCAACGGTTTCCTGGCTGTTTCCTTCCCCCTCTTAGCCCTTTGCTGTCCTGTGTAGTGATTTGGTGAGATAAGTTGCTGCTGCCCCACTCCTCCTCCCTTCTTCTGTACCACATAAGAATTTCAAGTTTTATTACTGCAATAAAAATGCTTTATGCTGGCTTTTCAAAAAAAAAAAAATATATATATATATATGGTGGGTCAGATTTCGTTTATAGATTATAGTTTGTCTCCAGCATTTCAAACTGCTCATCATGAAGTTGCACATAATATCCGTATGGATACTTCTCCTACCTTCTTTCATAATGCTAATATATAATTTGGGAACTCTCTCCTATTTTTTGGACCTTTTTAGGATGAAAGTATTTCATAGTAAAAAAATTTAAACATCATTTTTAAAAACTATGGTGATACCATCATTCCTCCTCAAGTTTAAAACACATTGTCTGCATATGAGTAGAAACAGGTACCTTTGTACCTCTAAGTTGGAATATAAACTGATACAAGCCCGATGGAAGGCAATTTGATAACAGCTGTATACATCACAAATGCACATGCCATTTCCTCAAGCAATTCTCTTCCTAGGGATTTCTTCTAGAGTTACACTTAAGTGTGTGGAAAGCATCTGTGTATAAAGTCATTCACTATAGCACTGATAATAGAAAGAAAGATACAAAATAAAAAGGCCCATCAGTGGGATACTGGCTAACTGTGATGCACCCATACCATAGGCCCCAAGGCAGCTTAAAAATATTATTATTATTAAGAGTCAATAATAAAAAGAAGAAATCTCTTTATGCAGTGATGGGGAAAGCGCAGATGTTTTAACATGGTAAAAAATTAAAAAATGCAAAACAGTATGTATACTCTTTGTGGAAAGGAGGAGGATGAGAAAGGAGACTATACGTTCCAACTTGCTTGTGCATGTACAAACAGTGCCTGGAAAGACGTCCAGCAAACTTGCTTTATCTTTTTTTTAATGGAGGGGGTTGGGACTAGATGAATAGGAGACAGGGGTGAGAAGACTTAACTAGGTACCATTTCTTATGTTTTATTTTTTAAACTGAAGAAATTAAGTAAAATTAATTTTTAAAAATAAAAAGAATCTCAGATATACTTCCTGTTCTGGTGAGATATACATTATATTCAAGACCAGAAAAATCAAACTCCCCACTATCCAACTGATCCTGACTCCTAGTGGTCCTATACGGTAAAGAACTGCCCACAAAGGGCTTCCGAGACTACATCTTTATGGAAACAAATTGCCTCATCTATTTCCCTTGGAGCGGTTGGTGGTTTTCAACAACCGACCTTTAGTTTGACAGCCTAGTGATTAACCTATGACACCACCATGGCTCCCTAATTATACATAAGAGAAAACCAAATAAGTTAAAGTAAAGAGTGTATACGTGTGTGTGTGCACATGCATGGAAGATACATGAAGCATACACACTAGATTTCCAGTCACCAGAAGTAATCTGGTGAGAATGGAAGGAGTACATTTTAAACCTTTTCTGTAAGTATTTTTGGACTGTTGACTATTAAGCAAATACAATCAAAACAACTTTTCTTTTTTTAAGAATAGTTAGTACCCGCAACAAAAAGTTACTTAAAAATGAAAATGAAAAGGTCGTTCGTTAATTGAAAACGTATACCTTTGCACACATTCAAGATGGGATAAAACCAAACCAAACCCACTGACATTGGAAGGGATCTTGACTTTAAGCAACTCTGTAGGGCAGAGAAGTGCTATTCCTTTGGGTTTCTGAAAGTGATAAGACTGCACCTCCCAAAGGTGGAAAACTGGCAAGAACTGAGAATAAAGCAGTCCCGTGGAGTTTCACCATTCACAGGTTTCAGTGCATAAATTGCTTAAACTGGCAAAGTTTCAGAGTAAAAATAAAGAAAATTTAAGATTCTCAAAATTCAAATGAAATTGAGGAGTCTTGGGAATGCAGCACAATTTATAAATGACATGTTATCAAACTTTCCCCATAAGCCAGGCATCGTGACATTTACAAAGGAAAAAGAAAACAAGGCATATGGACCCTTCTGAGCAGCTCTCGAGGAGCTGTAAGCTAAGCAATGAGCTGCCAACAGCAAGGTCAGTGGTCAAACCCACTGTCCATTCCGCAGGAGAAAGATGAGACTGTCTGCCCCCAATAAGATTTACAGTCTTGGAAGCCCCAAGTTGCAGTTCGACTCTGTCCTACAGGGTCACTGCTCTAGCTATAGTCTGTAAACTTCCACCTGATGTGTCTGGGAAGAGAAGGTCAGGGAAGATGCTAATGGATTAAATAAACCAGTTGTGAGAGATTAACAGGACTTACTGGAACTTGTCAATTTTGCCATCCTGCTGGGTATACAATGAGCCATCTCAGAAGCAGAAGGGGAATCTCACAACCATCAAAGAAGAAAGGGCCGAGAGTGGAGTGCATCCTTTGGGCCCTGAGATCCCTGTGCATGGAACCTCGTGGAAAGCTGTGACAGGGAGTGTCAGAGGAGGAGCAGCAGCAGCAGAACCAAGAGCCAGAGCATGAGACACAGCAGCGGGCTTCGCAGCCCGTGGAGCAAGTAAAGCTAGATACCTTTCGGCAGGAGGTTTGCTTACAGAGTGGGGTGCCTCCCGGCACTTAATTGGACGAAGCTAGGTGTGTGACCCATGGAGTTAGAACTGAGAACAGGGCAGAGGCCAGTCAGTCCATGGGGCTCAGGGTCAGAGATGAGCCTGTGTGTGGGCACAGCAGAGGAGAGGCTGTCTTGACTGGAAGAACTGTGTCCTGAGCATTTCTGACCCTGAAATGTAAATTGTTTAAGTGGCACTATGGGATGAAGCACTGGACTGGCACGACCAATTTGAATCACAAGGTCAGCAGCTCAAACTCACCAGTTGCTCCTTGGAAACCCTATACTGGGTCACTATGAGTTGGAACCAACTGGACAGCACTTAACAGTAATGACAACTTCCCTAATAAACCCCATAACTGGGAGTATGATGTATGAGTTCTGTGTGGCCACTGACTTATCAAACCCAACTGAACAGAGAGTGTTGTGGAAGAATGGCTGGTGATCATTTTTTACAGTCACTGTGAGTTAGAATCTACTCAATGGCAAATGAGGGTGGGGACTGGTTTTGTTTTTTTTCCTCTGGCTTCATGAATATGAACAAATAGGTCCGCCCTTCAAGATGGGGTGGAGAAAATAAGATTCTCTCACTTCAGTGTGTGACTTATATTGCTTTGATCAAAAAGCCTTGTCCAAGCATTTTCACAATCCAAATAAAGTACGTATTTGTTTCTCTTAGTGTCTTATTTGCTGTACATCTGTATGTTTCAGGCACAGTGCTAGTAATTTTACATGTGTTTATTGTGTTTAATCCTTTAAGCAACCCTGAGATACACGCTGCTATGTTTAATCCCATTTTACAAATGAGAAAACTGAAGTCTTCAGGATCCGAGTCATATCTGCACCCACAAGTCACACTTTTTCTGTTTGTTTTTTTAGATGGAAGTTTACACAGTGAATTAGGTTCTCATTGAACAATTGTTAAAGGGCTCTCCAGTCGTCTTGTGGGGGGCAGGAGGGGTACCTTTTCTGCGATGCCATTTTCGGTGGTATAAATGGCCATGAGCTCGGTGTCTTCGTTGTCCTGTTCTCCACTGGATGTGGCACCTCCGTTAATCACCACCTGGAAAGACACATTACATTTAGAGGCTGTCTCAACATACGCCACCCTGTGTTAAAAAAAAAAAAAGCATTCTCCTCCCCTGCTCCCCAATGTTGTTTTGTGCCATCACTAGGCTCTAATTGCACAAGTGTAGTCAAAAACCACTGAAAAAATAAGAGAAAAACACCTTCAGAATGGATGCTCCAAAAACAATCAAATTTAGTTACTAGGACATCAGAAAGGCCCAGGGCTGATGTAGAGTAGAGTCCTATGTGCTAAAACCAACTTTTCCTGCACCTACCTCTGCTTGTTGTCTGGACCACAAGTGCCAAATGTGTCTCCACGGCACCAATGAGGGCAGATTTTGGCAGGAGTTGTTAACTCCCACTCCTCCAGACTCAGCACACAATATGCAAAGTCCTATACATGTGGACACTCCTCAGCCTAGGAGGTGCTCCCAGGATCATCCAGCAAAGTCCGGCTAAACCCCACTCTATTCCAGATAATGAGGGTGCAGCCCTGCCTGCCTCCCTGCAGTCGGGAGTCCCAAGAGAGCTACGATCAGCTGTGGGACTTGGTCAGTCACTACAACTACAGTGGAAAGAAGTGGGGAGGAAGAGGAGGAATGGCAGAGGCAGAAAACCTTTAGGAGGCTGTGGTCAAGCAGACAACAGGGGCAGTGGTGGGATCCATGGTCTGAACAGTACTCTGGTCTCATTTAAAAGGGCAAGAACAGGGACTTCTTGTAATAGGTGTGTGATAAGACACCATCCACAGTACAGTAGGTGACACCAAAGTGTTCAGGACACTATCCAGCTTTCAAATCTGGATGGCAGGGTGGGTGGAGGTAGAGGTCCCAAAGATGAGGACATGGTTATAGGTGGGGGAAAGAGTAAATAAGTACAATTGATATGTTTTACCCATAGCAACCGCCTCACAAAGGATGCTTCACTTTCCCACGCTAGTCCAGGACAGTTTATTTAATTGTACATATTACTGACCTGGTGGCGCAGTAAAGTGCCCTGGTGGTGCTGTGGTCAGGCACTAACTTCAAGATAAGCAGTCCAAACCAATCTATCGGCTACCGTAAATATGTACAGTTTCCGGAACACTAAATAGGATCGCAAAGACTTGGAACTGACTCAGTGACAATGGGTTAAGTGCAAGGCTGCTAACCAAAAGTTCAGCAGTTCAAACCCACCAGCTACTCTGAGGGAGAAAGATTCTGTAAAGATTTAGCCTCAGAAACCCTAAAGAAGCAATTCTACTCTGTCCTATAGTCACTCTGAGTTGGAAATGACTTGATGGCAGTGAAAGGTGGGGTTTCTTTTAGTTCATAAAGCCTAACTATGATTTCTCACACAGCTCCACATGTTGAACGGTCCTGAGAACCTCAGAGGCTGTCCTGGGGACATTGCCACCCCTCCTGCCATCATCTCATGCTGCGGCCTTAGAGTCTGTACCAGCACACATGTCAGTGTGTGTGCCTGTGAGGGGGTGCTGCAGAACTGAGAAACTGCCATCGATTCCCCCTCAGTGTGGCTCCCCCTCCCCATGATCCTTTGCTCAGCATCCAGCAGAGTTCCAGCTGGGCTTGGGGACACTCAGAAGGTAGGAGTTTCTGGAAGCCAGAGAGGAATGAAACAAGACTTCACTCTGAAAGGATAGGGGGAGAGGGGACGGGGGTTGTCCCATCAGGACGGCTATTGTCTGACAGACTGCATATTGTTCATGTAATCTGTATGGGCAGGGAACTGCCTACATTACCTACAGAAGACAGTGCTGGTCAAAACACTTGTCTCCTTTCCTAATGTTTGTTCCTTTGGTTTATTTAATGGTTTTAATGGTCTAATTTTACGAATATATGAAATTTGATTTTAAAAATCAAATGTTAAAATCTCTCTTTCAGGAAAGGCACTGAGGTTTTGTTTTGCCTTTCAACAGAAAAGGATGAAAAACGCTGTTGACTGTTATCAAAGCTTCCCAAGTTTGAACCTCTAGATATTAGTCTGGTGTGGCACTGTAGGATAAACACAGCCAGTGCTAACCACAAGGCTGGCGGTTCAAACCTACCAGCAGCTCCTTGGAAACCCTACACAGTGTTGTTATGAGTCAGAACCAACTCCACAGCATGTAATAACAACAAATATTAGTTTAACTGGGAAATAAAATATGTCTTGGAATGCTACCCTTTAATAAAGATTTATTTATTTTGTGCTAGTAACAGCATCACAGATAAGAGACTTGGAATCTTGGCCCCATTCATCTCAGGAAATTGATCAATTTTTACACAAAAATATCAGCAGATGATTTATAAACACTTTGGAAACAAGATGTCCTTTCTTCCCCTCCAAAACCAAACCAAACTTGTGGCTTTAATTTTTTTCTCATGAACTAATATTGTATAATCACTCAATCAGTTACCAAAGCAGGTTTTGTTTCACTGTCTAAATGCACCCAGTTGTTATTTGTTGACTGTCTCTAATACGCATAAATGGATAAGTGTCTCTATTGCTCAATATTTTTCTTGTTCAAATACATCATTTCTATTAAGCTAAGATAATGATGTTGAAGTCCTTGTTTTTGATACAGCAGTGCTGAGATATCAACTGTGCAGGAAACGGTGGCAGGGAGGGGGGAGTGAACACAGACGGGGGCAGGTGTGTCAGCCAACAAGTATCACCTGGAATGGCAAAACCTCAGGAATGCCAGGTTTCACCTGACAACAGATTTCAAAGCAAACCAAATCCACTTTGTTCAAGCCAAATCCTACAACTCACAGCATCCCTGCAGGACAGAGTAGGGGTGCTGCACAGAGCTTCCGATGTCACACCTTTCTCCCACCAATCTGGTGGGTGTAAACCGTAAATCTTTACAGAACAGGCAACCTCAGGAGTGAAGAGTCACCTTTCTGCTGAGGAGCATCTGGTGTGCTTGAACCGCTGACCTTGCAGTTAGCAGTCCAAACACCTAACCCACAGCGCCACCCGGGCTCCATAGCAACCAAAACTACTGACAGCAAGCCTGGAGGAGCCTGGACAGCACAGCCTCCCTCACTTGCACCTGGGGCTCCTGAGGCAGCAGCAAACAGAAGCAACTTCAGGGTTCGAGGTGAATGTGAACCAATGCACAGGTTGGTAACTCTACTCTCACCAATCTCAGCTCATTGCCCTGGACATAAAAAGTGGGCTGCTTCCTCCATCACCGGTCCACACTGAAAACTCTCTGTCCGTTTCTGCTCCAGCTTCCCACTATCACATCCAATGAAGACGGTGGTAAGGGCAGTTACCGTTTGCTGTGCATGTATTTATGACAGGAGCTGGACAGAAGACCCCGCCGAGCAGCCTCCCTTCAAGGTGAGCTTGCTGTTGTTAGATGCTACAGAGTTCGTTCCCCACGCATGGAGACTTGGTCCTTTGCCATTCTCATGATCGACTGCAGACCAGACCAGACAACTGCAACCCATAGGGTTGGGTTTTCATTGGATAATTTTTGGAAGCAGATTAGCAACATTCCTTCCTAGTCTTAGTTTTGAAGTTCAGCGGAACCTGTTGCATATCAAAGCAGCCCACAAGTCTCCTATGACAGACAGGTAATGGCTGTACATGTGGTACACTGCCTGGGAATAGAACCCGGGTCTCCAGCATGAAAAGTGAGAAATTCTACCACTGAGCCACCAGTTTCTGAAGGTGACACTTCCAAGAGTTTAAACAGAGATGTCCCTAATAAGTCCTACTCCAGAATGACCTTGCAGACACCCAGTTGGCTCCAGCAGTCCCACAAATGAAAAAGTCAACATCTCAACAAGAAAATGACAAACGGAATGTTGATTCCTGACCATCTGAAAACATACTCAACCTCAATCATAAGAAGCTGCTAACAAACTGAAACAATAAAGTCAGTAGTTCAAACCTACCAGGCACTCCTCGGAAACCCTACAGGGTAGCTGTGAGTGGAAAACAACTTGATGACACTTAACAACAAACTAGTCAGTGGAGTCCAGGTGTGGCACTGTAAGATAAGCACTAGATTGCTAAACACAAGGTCAGGGGTTCAAACCCAGTAGCCGCTCCTTGGAAAAGCTGCATAGTGTTACTATGATTCAGGACCAACTCGATGGCACTTAGAAACAACAACAAAAATAAACTAGTCAGTGACCTAGGTGGTGTAAACAGTTACTTCATTCAGCTGCTAACAAAGTCTGGAGTTATAATACCACCCTGTTGTTGATAGGTGTTATTGAGTCAGTTCTGACCCATAGCAACCGTATGTGCAACACTGGTTATGTGCCATCATCAGAATTGCTGCTAGGCTTGAGTCTTTTTCTGCTGCCACTGTGCCAATCCATCTTGTTGGGAAACTCCTCCTTCTACACTTTACTAAGTATGATGTCCTTTCTTCATGGATTGGTCCCTCCTGATAATGTATCTGAAGTATGACAGATGAAGTCTGGTCATCTTGGCTTCTAAGGAGTATTCTAGAAGTGTTACTCAGGCAGTTCGTGGTACCTTCTCCAACACCATTAGTTCAAATGCATCAAATCTTCCATGATCGTCCTTATTCATTCTCTGCATATAAGGCTATTGAAAATACCATGGTTAGATTGTTGTTGTTATATACCCTGGAGTTGGTTCCGACTCATAGTGACCCTGCATAGTGTTTCTGAGGCTGTAAATCTTTACAGAAGCAGAAAGCCTCATCTTTCTCCTGCGGAACAGCTGGTAGTTTCGAACTGCTGACCTTGCATTTCGCAGCCCAATTCATAACCACTACGCTACCAGAGGCTTGGATTAGATGTACTTTAATCCTCAAACTGACAACCTTTAGCTTCAACACTTTTAGGAGGTGTCTTGTGCAGCAGATTTGCCTATGCAATACATCATTTTTCTTCTTGACTGCTGCTTCCATGAGTGTTGATGGTGGATGAAAGAAAAATGAAGTGTTTGACAACTTCAATCTTTCTCCATTTATATGGGTGCAGTTTACTGGTCCAGTAGTGAGGATTTTTTTCCTTCACATTG